CTTAAAGTAAAGGGTTTAGGGAAAGAACTATGTGTGGCTTGATCTCTCAGTAAGGGTACGTAGGCAGCCTAGGGTAGTGCCTAGGTGCAGCCGCAGACTAAACTCTATTTATGTTGTTTTATTGAGATTGGTTCGGACCTTGTTGGTCTTGAAATTTGGGGTGAAAACGAGATGTAATCGTGCTAGGAGGTTAAAACCTCATATGTTGAGTATTTGGGGAGTTAGATGATGGAAATTACATTTGGCACTCGTAAGTGTGTTTTAATTTATATTTGCCATGTATAAGGTACTTTTTGGCTTAAGGACTTTGTTGGTAGTTTGGTTACGGATTATTTGAAGGCCGGAGGCCGTTTATGTGAATTGCATGAAATTATATTGTGCGTGCTGCCTGTTGGGATATTAAATTGTGAATTTTGTGCATGTTGAAATTTGGGGAATGTTCAATTTACAGAGGAGACTCTGCCTAAATTTCGGTAGAAAGTCTCGTACCCTTATTCCTTTTTGGGAAAAGAGGATATAGTTTCAGAAGTGGGCCCGACATCGGTGTGATGTCGGGAATTCCACAGGATTCATCTCGGGTTTCGAAAAATTCGGGGCGGGTCCTGTCAATACAAGGGAAGGTAGGAATAAGTAGAGAAAACGGATATTTACATCTAAGCTTGGCATTTTATTCTGAAAAACAAACAAATTGACCGAACCGAACCGATCGGTTTTATCGATCTCTTCCCTTTTTTTTGTCTCGTGTCTCTCTCGATCTGTATCCGTCTCATCTCTCTCTCTCTCTCTCTCTCTCTCTCTCTCTCTCTCCTTCTTCTTCTTCTTCCTCTTCGCACCATATCCAAACAACGCTGACAAGCGCCAAACCCCACACGACAACCATTGCTCCATATCGCACCAGATTTCTCTTCGTCGGCAACCTCTAGTTCCATGGCAGCCACTGCTCTATATCACGAAGATGTCATCCCAAACTGACGGCCTCCCACCAAAATTGAAATAGTCGATAACCGACCGTCGACGGATTCATTTTTGGCCATAACATAGCTTCTCGATCGGTAATTGGTTTTGTCTTTTCGGTTCGGGACTGAACCGAAACCACCCATGTTTACATCCATGCCCATATAAAGTGGGGCCACACAGGGCAACTAGGAAGATATTGTAATCCCTAATAGGAATGAGTCATGCTTACTAATTAAGAGTGAGGGAAGTCATAAATTAGGGCACCTAAGAATAGCGAAATTAAGGAATTGGAATCATATTAACTACCCCTTAGTTGATCCATTTTTTAATTTTGAGAGTATTTAATTACATATTTTAATATAAAACCCACATAATGTTTTATTCATAATGAGTTAGTAAATACAGGGGATGAAAATATATTTAAATTATAAATAAATAAAAGCTTTCTCAATCCAAAACTAACAAAGGAAATGACTTTAAAAAGTGCACAAATGATGCATGAACTTATCCGGTTTATGTTGTTCCCACCTAAACTAATTATTTTTACAATTAACTACTTAAATTTTACATTGCATTACAATTTGACACCTTTGTCCACTTTCATCACCTTTTCGTGAAAATCATGAAGGCTCTTTTTCAATAGCATTCTTGTCATTTCCCGCAACTAGTAGGGTTCATAAGAACATTTTTCGACAAAGAAAGTCGAATTTTGCTCAAACTGAACTGAATCGGTCTAAATCCATTCGTATCTCAGTTTTGTCTTGAAAGAGCTGGTCCAAACCAAATCGGACAGGTCATGTTAATTTTATTTATTTTGTATAACCAAATCTATTAATAAGCACACACAAAATATCCAAATAAATAAGCACACAAAAAATATCCGAATAACATTAGTAGCCCGGGTAATATCTAGACCCTTTAGCTCAATTAAGACCAAAATGACAACTCTAACCTTCTTCTTTGTCTTTCAATGAACTATAACCCTCTTGTTGTGCCTCTTTCTTTCTCTCTTTTCTGCATTGTTCTTTCTCTCTTCTTTTTCATGAACCTGCTTCACTAGGCACTCATGGTTTTGTTTATAGGCTCAAGTTTATGCTATATTCCGCAAAAAAACATCTTTCTAGGAATTTAAGTGCCCACGCATATATGGCCCTTCACCTTTCCCTTCCCGAGGAATGTGGGATTGCTCATTGATCTTTCCCCTTCTTGCCTTGCGTCCTTTAGGGCTCATAGTTCTTACCATTCACCCACTTGGGGCCCAGCGTCCTTGCTAGTATACTTTTGGTCGGGGTCTAGCTCTAATACCATTTTGTCCTGACCTTGCTTCACTAGCAAGTTATTGTCTGCTTGGGTTCTAGGCCCTAGCAGTTTTGTTATTTGGCTCAAGCTTATGTTATCTTGCCGAAAATGCCTATTGCCAGGAAGTCAAGTACCCACACATATATCGCACTTCACCTTTCTCTCCCCGAGCAATGTGGGATTGCTCACTGATCTCATCCCTTCTCCATTTCCATCCTTCACAGCCCACAAGTCCAAGTGTACCAACAAGAATGTTGGGCCCAAAGAGGGGTGGGGATTGTGAGACCATGGGATGGTGCCACAATCCCACATCCCTTGGGTGAGGAACGGTGAAGTACCTTATATGTGAAAATTTCCTCTCACCTAATAAGATGGGTTTTGGGCTTGAAAGCCCAAGAACAAATACGTGTGTATGGGGCCCAAAGTGAACAACATTTTGCAAAGACAGTGGGCTATGACATTCTTCCTCTTTCTATCTTCTTCCTTTTTCTTTTCCCTCTTACTCGATTCAACAAATCAATGGCTCGCCACTGTCACCTCTTCATAGCATCTCATCTTCCTAAACCAAAAAATCAGGCAAACTGAACCGGAATCGTATTAGTTTATATTTGTTCGGTTCCCCTAAACATTGGTAAGAAAATCGATTCGAACCAGACCATATGTAAGGTTTAGTTTCAGTTCAAATTTTAGGGGTAAACCAAGCCAAACTGAGCCATGCCCACCTCTAAAATAACCTATTCAAAGAGTCCAGACTCGAGACTCATGACCAATCTTGGGAATCGGAACATAGTCTGGCGCCTCCAGACACTAGATCTGGCATTATATGCCTTCTTTGTTCTTGGACTGAGTGAAGTACACATCATGAATGATTAAATGAAAAAGAAATACAATAGCAAATTTGACTATGTTAGTAGATTTTGTCCATTAAAGAAGACGGCTATTCTTCGCATCTCGAAATTGAATTCTGTCTTAGCCGTGGAAGGCAGAAATCCCCTGATCTCCTTTCTTGCCTTAAGCCTGGAGACCTGAAAAGACTGATTAAACAAGATATGCCTTGCCTGCATTAAGATTTAAAACTTGTAGTCTACTTTCAAGAAATGTTCGGAATAGAGAACTTACAATAATACAACGCCGCATTCTCTCCCTTCTTTCTTATGAAGTACCGTTCGGCTCATGTCGGGGAGCCTCACTCTCTTGCAGATTTGTCTTCAACTCAGGAAGCTAGAGTTACTAGGGAGCTTATATTTTAAAGTATATTAAAGGTAGTATAAAATCAAGATTATCCCGACGTGAACATGGGAATTAGCACCATTCCTATGATTTGTCTCGAAAAGCCAACGGGCAAGCCTCTCTCTCTATCTCGGTCTCGGTTTAGCATCATATATCAATCTTGAGAAAATTAAACAACACAATCAGATATAGCAATCAAACTTGAAATGGTAATTATATTACATAAAATGAAAAATATAGAAAAACTCATACATTTTTCACGGAGAAGAAATCTGACTTACTTAGGTTGTGAGATCTAAGAGAGACAAGGCAGGTAGTAAGATCCGAGAGAAAGATAAAGAGGAGACGATGAAATCGGAAAGAGTGAATGTGAGAGCTGAAGAGGTCAGTTGTTCCGACTAAGAAAAGTGAGATCTATTAAAGAGTGGAGAGATTTAAAAGTAAAATGAAAAAAAATTTAATTAGCCTAATTTTGAAATCAGTTTTCTTTTTGTCAAGAAAAATAGTTACCAAAAATGTTTTCATTATTAAATTTTCAAAAAAGAGCGGCGATTTTCACACGCCTATTTTGTATATTGGCACTTCTTTCTTTGGTTTTTAATGCATTCATTTTCTTATTTGGATAACAAAACGTCCCCGGAGTTTACAAAACTATCAAGTTGCGTCTTTTCTTTTGTTTGTGTAACCTTGGGGGACCACGAATGACACAAAAAAAAAAAAACAAAAACAAAAATGCAAGCTGATAGTTTCGTGAACCTCAGGGACGTTTTGTGATTTTAAAAAACCTTATTATTTATATTCAACTATTGAAATTTTATCACGACTAGTCCCTGAATTTTTTAAAGATTCCTCATTTTAGTCCTCAAACTTTCAAATCAATTAATGTAACCCTTAATCTTTTGGTCGACATATCAATTCGATCCCTCTCATCGCATTACATCAAAACCCTTGTTAAAGTTGCGCACTTGATAGCTCGCACTAACTTTATAGGGGTGTTTTTGTAAAAAAAAAAATACTACATATCCACCCAAAAATATAAAAAATATGAAGCTCGTGTCTTAAGCTCAACAACGTGAATTTTGTTTTGTCTCCTTTGTATATAAGCTATACTAGCCTCTCCACACGTGCTTCCGCGCCTGCGAGAGGGTTTTTTTTTTTTTTTAAAAAGTAAAATTTTATTTTAGAATTAAAAAAGATAATGAGTAGTTGTTTTCCATAAAAATAGGATCCATTATCCGATTTTTATTTTAATTTTTTTAAATATGAAAAAGTGTGAATTTACCATATTATCCTCATTTAATGAAGCCGAGAAATAAACAAGCTAACAAGTACACCGACGGAGACAAAGAGTCCAAAATGAAGCACGAGAAATCAAATTTGAGTCCCAAATCCCAACAAGACATCCCTACATCCTGACAGTGTGCCAGCCAAGTATTTCCATTAATGCCTTTAAGGAAGCAGGAAATTCAACAATTCTTTCGTTAAAATTAACAAATTAGCTGAAAAATATGTACCTCTTTACATGATGGCGGAGCACGCTTCCCCTTTATCGTTCGAGATCTCCTAAATAACCCCACCTGCACCATTGGTTGTTTTAGTATCCAAATTTTATTAAATGACAGAAACATTTAATTTGGGTTCTTACTCGTGGAGAATGAATTAACACCAAGCCATCATCTGCAGCTCTATCTAGCAATGTCTGGATATTCCTTGAAGAATGTTCTTGTCTAGTGATAGGCTGATAGCTAAAGATTGTGTAGGAACTGAGCCATTCGAAGCAGGTGCTTCAGCACTCGCATTCACACTAACAGGAGCAGGACTTGGGGGAGGTAGAGTGCTAATTTTTTCAGTCAACTCCCTCAGCACATGTAACCGAAATCCACCGATCTGATTATATGGTTGGAATGAGTGAAATTAATAATAGACTGAACGGAAGATAAATCAGCAGCATCCAATACTAATAGGAAGCATAAGGGAAAAAGGGAGGGGTTGTGAATGGAATATTTATTAGTTGTTAAAAAACAAAAAATACAATTCATAATATAAGCACTATTAAGAAAAACAGTCTTGCTTACTTTTATTTCGAACTCAGCAACTGAAGTTGTATCGCATATTGTTGTGATAAAAGATTCTACCTGCAAACCAAAGTAACCAAAAGACATGTTTTAAACTCATAAAAATGCTTTTGCATTAAGTGAGGACATGCATGCGTTTGTGAGTATGTAAAGAGAAAATTTTAAGATGAAAAGTTTGTTGGCAATTGCATGGTAACGTTAACAGAAGGAAATTTTACAAGAAGCATAGATAAAATCAGTGAATCAATATTTTCTTCAAATATGAGCTTGAAAGAAAATAGGGTGTGCATGTATTAAGATAAAAGTTAAGGAAACAAAAATGTAGAGGAATTTCAAGAACATTATAGGGATATTTCACGATACCATCCAGGTCTATAATAATCTGACCTAACAATACATATTTTCAAGTCTAAATTGATTAAATTTGTCTTTTCTTTTTCAAATTTGAAGTACCATAAAGCATGATTTTGCGATGTACAATAACAATAGCAGAATTATTACCTACAAGTAGTGATGAAAATAAAATGCATGCAACTTGTGGTTTATAGTATTCTACCAATAACCTATTTTTACATCCCTCTTTTTCAACACAAGCCAAAGAAAATAAACTTGTGTATTTGAATGCAACTATTCAAGAAATCTAGCACACGAAAAAAACTGCAGAGGCTGCACAAGATTTTTTTTTCTTTCTTTCTAAAATAGTAAATTTGAAGTGTAGGGATGTGCTCTTTAAAGATGGTGATTATAACTATCTTATGACACCCCAGAAATAGAGAACTCGGACATCTACATGGTGCATATAAAAAATTGGCAGATACCAGAAAAGAAGAAATTTACATTTTTCTCTCTGTCTTATTATTTGATATACAGAAAGAATAACCAAGCAAAAATACTTCTTGGATCATAATTCCTCCAAAAGTAAAACTCCAAGAAACAACTGTTGACCTTACTATATTCACAACTCCACTAAGTATAGACTTTGCAAAAGCATTTGGCAACCACTGTTGACCTTACTGATTAAAGAACCAATAATCTTTTTCTGGTTGATAATATTGTCTGGTTTCATGTGGGGAAACCAGAAAGCAGTGGCTAGGTGCGACTTTGTCCAAATAATGAAGTTCATTTCAAGTTGCAACTTGCAAGTATCCAATTTTTCTCAAGCAATTAGTTTAGGTGATTGAAACAAAACATAAAAAGAACAGAAAAATAAAGTTCAACGATGTTGTTATTATTATTATTATTATTTTTGTGTAAACAGATTTCATTAATTTTTTTCTAACTTATTTACAAAAAAGAAAAATTACAAGACTACAATCATGCATGCCAACCCGAACCCTCATCAGTTCATGTTTAAACGAAGTTCCTCTCGTATGAGCTGGAAGAAAATCGCGATGTTAAAGCTTGATTCATGTTTTCTGAATCCAATTTTACTCTCTGTCTCCCCCCTGCCAAATCCTTCTCACGATCTCAAGGCTTCCACGGATGTCAAATCTTTCAGTTTCCCCACCCAGTCCTCCTTCTCTGTCTGTTGTTTCTTGGATTTTCTCTTTGAACGCTTTGCAGTCTCCTCTTTGTGTTTTTGCAAAAGTGATTTTGATCGTTTTTCTTTATTGTATTTGTCTACCAAATCTCCATCTGAAACCTTCCTTTTCTTTTCCTCCGCATTTGAAGCAAAGGCTGCAGCCTCATTACTACTGTTAAATCGTGTTTCCTTTCAGGTGGCAGCGTTGTCATCCACTCATCTCTTTTGGGTGCCACCTTAACATCCATCATGTCTGCTAGGAGTAGGAGCTCATCATCACCCTCCATGCATATTCCTTGTAGCTTTCTCCACTGCGCAGCCTCACGCATTGCCTTCAACCAGGGCCGTCCGTGAGATTTTAAGGGCCCTGTGCGAAACTTAAATTGAGGCCTTGCATAATATAATATGAAAATACTATAAATAAAAATTTGCCATAACTTAATGTCATAAACAATTTTTTTATAACTAAAAATCACCATCAATAAATATGTAATGACAATTAGAAATCAAATTCATAAAAATTTAAATGTTTCTATTTGATAAAATTAAATGTTTGGTACAAAAATAAGCTCCTTGTGCCCTTATAAGGTCCCTTGCTGCCTCCAATAAGTAATCTGTGTTTAGTTACATACCTGAATTTGAATTGAAATTTGAATCTGACTATTTAATTTTGAGTGGTCTTTATGAATTTAGGAATTAGAGTTTTCTCTTTTTGGTGTTGAAATTCCTGAAATTGAAAGAATAACAAAAATTGTCAAAGGATTGAAAAAAGAAAGAGAGACTGATGAATGATGATAATTCCTTACTAGAAAACCAGAGTTTAAGAGAAAGAAGAAGCCATGAAGGTTTTTATAAATATACTCCTCCTATGGTTAGCTTTTTTTTTTTTTTTTTCCCGGCCTCATGTGGTTAGCTTTGATGTTTCCTTTTATTTAAAGGCTTTCTGTTTTTATTTTTATTTTTTTTATGTTAAAATAATTATGTAAAGTTTTTAGTTATAATGCAAAAATAATATAAAAACAAGCAAGAATTAACATGAGAAAGATACAAGTACAAGAATTAACCACTCAAGAGTTCTACACCCAACCCGAGTCCCGTATCCAATAGGATACACCCCTTGTACACCCTCTCTCATAAATATGAAAAACACTCTCTCTCCAAGAGATATACCCTCTCTTGAACCCTTGATGAACCCAGCTAAATACCAGCTGAAACATCTCCTGGAGTTCGTGGGACTGCTTGCTTGCATCTCACAAGCAGTCCACTCCCTCCCATTTCTCCTCTCTGCCGTGCTCTCTCTCTGGCTCTTCGGTGCGACACAAGCACACGCACACTTCTCTTTGCCAAGCCTCCTTATTAAATAGGAAAAGCAAAGACAAATAATGCAAAGCATTATTCAATCACCCAGACAAGCAACAAGAAAGCAGCCGCACCTTTTCTCCTTTGGTGCCCATTTAATAGTCAATAAAGTAAGGCTGATTTTTCTCTCCAAAATCAGCCACACGCACATGCCAACAAAGGGACCAGCCACATGCCCACATGCACAAAGGCTCATAAAGAAGCCTCGAGCACCTTCAGCAGCCCACAAATTTCTCTTTTCCAGCTGCTTCACATGCCTTGTTTCCTCCCTTTAACAGCATGCCCACGTGAGTTGCTGCACTCCTTTACTCCACTAAGGAGGGATTTCCAACAATATTTTGGTTGGCTCCTAAGATATCATATAAACTATCATCCGCAGAATCCATGATCCTTGTAACCTCTTCAAACCGCTCAGCTTCATTAGCTGATTCAGTTTCAGCAACCACGGCAGGTGGTGGAGAGGTCCTATAAAAAGTTCACTATCTTCTTCCAACACAGCTTCTCTGAGCTCAGCCTGTGCTTCTGTCAGTTTGGCTGCAGCAGCAGCAGCAGCAGCAGCAAGTAACTCAGCTGATGGCAACGAAGGGCCAATTATCCTTCGTTTAGGACCAGTATCATCCTCCTCCATGCATCTGCTCGAGCTGCCGGCAGCAGGTCTGGCCATGCCACAGCAGTGGCGCGCGATGGTAGGAAGAGAAGAGGAGAAGAAGAGATACAGAGAGAAGAGAAGAAAGAGAGAGGAAAGATACCAGAGGGCGTTCAGAGAGAGTGACGAAGGAAGAAACACTAACAATTTAATTTTTTTTATTTTTTATTTTGCTAAGAAACCTTTAATATTGTTGTTATAATAAGTAAAGAATATAAAAGAGAGAAATATTTGAGGGAATTGTGAAAGCGTTTTTCCCTAACCTCTTATTTATAGGGAATCAGGTGATTAGAGATGGGGCCATCTAATCTCCTAGTTATACATGGATTCCCATTTTAGTATGGAAAAAGGATTTTAGCCTTTTCAGAAGTACGTTAAATCATATTATTTCTAATTACAATAACAATAAAACTTGTCCGTCCCAAAATTATATTAATATAGTCTAAGAAGAAGTATGATAACATTGATAGAATTTTAATCCACTCTAATTTTATCTTCCACATAAAAAAGTGTTATAAATTCACCACTTTTTGTTCTGCATAAATTTCGTCTACATTAATAGGATCTACCTCTCAATATTTTTTTTCACCGAAGTGAAAGAATCTCAAAGTAGGGTTATTTTAATTACTGCATTACTCAAGTTAAAAAAAATCAATTTCTCACAATCACAAACTGAAAGACGGAGAAGAAGACTTTCATACTTGAGAGATGATGAAATGGACCCCCAGCCCCAGGATCAAGTTGCAAAACATGCGCAGCCGCACACCTAACGCAGACACGTGTTGTCTGAATACATTAAATCATATTATTTGTTACAAAATCAGTGGCTTTCCATTGGTTTAGGGACAAACAAGGCTTCATTTGTTTAAGTGCTGAACTTGATGTAATGCCAACTTTTGTGAACTATATGAGCAGCTGAGATGCACAAACATTTGTCCCGTTTGTTCCATTGATGAATTATGTCTCTCTTGTGGGGCCCCCCAAAGCAAATAGGTCCATTTAGCGATAACAATCCCCAAACCATGGAAAACATGTACCTTGGTCTTTCGTTCTTCTTTGTAGCTATCCTCATAGAGAGAAATACAGAGATTTTTGGGGTTTTAGAGTTGGGTTTTGCTGTTCTTAGTTTAAGAAATAGAAAGGGAGAGAGTCCATGGATTTGCTTAGTTAGACTTGGTAGTTTCCTTGGGAGTACCAACTAAGCTTTTAGGAGTGATTTTGGACTTTTTGGTGTGGATTGATTGATGGAAGCAATGTCTTTGTGCACTTGGAAATATCCTTCCTGCAAATTGGGCTTTGTGATGAATACACATAGAACCCTGTATAGGACGAGGTTGAATGTTGGTCTAGCTTTAAGTCCATCCCCAGTGCTCTTACACACGGATGGAAGTGGAAAGTTTCAAGAGTATAAGAAGGGTTCTGGTTCAAATACAGTTGGTATAATAGGAGGGTTATCTGTTAATTCTAATCTTAATTTTTTGAGAAACCTTTTTAACTGGAGTTCAAGAGATGGAGAAAGTTGTCCTCCTTTTGTTCTTTGCTCTGATCCTGCGTTGAATAAGGAGCTGTTATTGATTGAGAGACCTTCTTTTCCTTCTGTTAGCTGTAAAAATGAAGGTACAGAATTGGATTCTACTCTGATTGTGGAGAATTTGAGGAGTAAGAGGATTTATCTTGAAAATTCGGGATCTCGTTGCATCGTAATGCCTTGTCATATTTCACATTCTTGGCATGATCAAATTTCAGAGGGATGTTCTGTTCCTTTCCTTCACATGGGTGAGTGTGTTGCCAAGGAACTCAAGGAAGCAAAGTTGAAGCCACTTGAAACTGGGAGTCCTTTGCAGATTGGAGTGCTTGCAACCTATGCAACTTTGAAAGCAGGATTCTATCAAGAGAAACTGCGGAATGAGGTAATTCGATTCTGCATATTTTCTTTCAGATTGTCCATTCTTGTATAGTTGGGACATGGTCCTGGAAATGGTCAATCTGTTTATAACAGATGACCAATTCCCCAGGAAGAAAACAGATGTTTTATGCAGACATGTCAAATGATACTGCTGAAAAAGAAATACCAAGATCATGGTTTTGAGGGAATTGGATATCCAATGTAATTTAGGTTACATCACAAGAGAGATGAGCTTACTAGTTTTCTTATTAGGATTTTAGAAAGTTCACACACACACACACCATTCTTGGCCAAGTTAAACAATATGGTAGAATATTTTCAGATATATTTCATTCTCCGAAAGGAGGTATTTATAATACAGGTTACAAACCCTAGTAGGGTTTAATTAGGAAATAAGTGGAATCCTAATTACATAATATCTACACAAAAGGTAAAATAAATAAAACCCAAATAGAATAGGACTAGGACTCGCCAACACTCCCCCTCAAGTTGGAGCAAAGACGTCACGCATGCCCAACTTGTCAAGCGAGTTGAGAAAGATACTTGTAGAAACAGCTTTCGTAAGAACATCAGCTAACTGATACTCTGAACGGATGAAGGGGAAGGACACAATCTGCGCATCCAACTTTTCCTTAATGAAATTTCGATCAACCTCCACATGCTTTGTACGGTCATGTTGTACAGGATTATGAGCAATTGCAATCGCAGCCGTATTGTCACAATATAACTCCATGGGTTTATTAGGCCCAAAACCAAGGTCTTTCAACAATCTTCTCAACCATAGTAACTCAGATACACCATGGGCCATTCCCCGATACTCGGCCTCAGCACTAGATCTAGACAC